CACATTCTGAAATATTTATAAAGACAAACAGTCTTCTGATACTTACGTATCTTTCCCAATCAATTTCCGCATAAAATCCATTTGGTGCCCCATTGCTTTTCTTCTGTAATAAATTTGAAAATACGTTTAGAGAAGAAACATCTGAGTGAAAAGAAAAGGAACAAAGACCACTTAACTCTTATCTGTATTTAGTGAGAGCTATCAAAATTCAGCACTGGGAGACAAATTAGACCAGCCTTCTAAGCAACCACACTGGTGTAACTGAATGGTAAACTGAGCTGCTGTGACACTGCATAAAAGAGCTTACATACTCATTTCATGAAAGATTATAGGATATCTAAGCATGGGGATATGAACAACTAGCTGTTCAACTTTTATTCAATTACTGAAGAATAGCAGCACCTACATTATAATTTAATCCTCTATAGCTTCAGAGGATGTAACCAGATGTATATACATGTTGAAATGGCAACATTTTGATTTCCATGTTGCTCTCATATACATTAGTTCCAACATAGCCAAAGAGTATTTATCCAAGTCATTAACTGATCTTTTAGTTTTTCTAACTCAACCTTTTAGTTTTTCTAACTCAACCTTTTAGTTTTTCTGACTCAACCTTTTCCTAACCATCCCCTTGATAGAATACAAAGGAAATCAGCTCTGAATTAGTTAACTCAGCATGTAGGTATTAAGAAGTGTTGGTATTCTTTCGAGTGGCTTTTCTTATCAAATTATTAAAATGGAATTTGAGGATTAATCATGAATTCCCATCATCCAGGCATCCTATGCCTTCATGAGCATACATCATCGCAAGATGGCTGCATATCAGCATCGCTCTCTCAGGATTATTTCTAAAGTTCTATTTTGGCCTCTAGTACAAACATGACTTGTGTGGCCATAAGCACTTGAGCAAGGATATGGCATCATCCAAATGGAAATTGCTGGGATTCTCTGCTTTTCATGAGCAAAGGACAAAAACGCAAATCAGGTTGGTAATGGAGAGTCCGTTCAACAACGTGCCTGTAGTTAGCACACAGAGCAATGGTATGTCACTGAGAACCGTCAGATCTCACAACAACACACATCAAATGGTGACGCACAAGGAGGCTTAAGGACAGGACACCTAATTTTGTAATCACAAATGAAGACCAGTTGAGCTACAGTGTGAACAGCTAAGACTTAATTTGACAAACAAGTAGGAGAAGAAAGCTTTTCATCTATGCACATAGGATCACCAGAAAACCAACTCAGAGGTAACCTAGGAAGCATTATCACTGATTAATACTTACTGAATGCTGCTGGGCATTCTAAGAACAAGCAGTAGTGTAGTGAGGGGGACTAGTGCGTAAGGGACAGACACTGGGCTCATTCTCGCTCTCTTCCCATACACTGCCACCGCACCAGAATTTATAGATGCATGAACTCTGCCCTGCTTCCACAGACTCGCATCCTGGAACGCAGAGGGCCTGCCCTTCTCTTCCTCTTTGTCAGAGAGTACATACTTTGTCAGATGACACCATTTTAACCTTCCCGTGGAATTGCCTTCATTGAATTAGTGCTTCAATGATACCCTTTCCTTTTTGAACACAGGTTGTTTGAAATACCTGCCACATCAACTCTGTACCTGTATAAGTTATGAAGCTACTTTGGAGGACACAGTCCATTAAATAATGTGCCATCTCATAATAAAAAAATCTCTCCCATGGTGAATGGCATGGTTCCTATTTTTTTTCTGTCAAATTTGCTTTCTTTTTAAGTTTCTACCTTACCAATATGTTTGCATATATCTTCTTTGCAAAATTCTCCAAATCCTTCTTAGAAAGTGTACATAATAAATTCAAAATACAAATTTAATGTATAATAATGAGAAATCAAATCTCAAAGTTGGTTCCAAAGAACTAAACTCATAAATTTTGTGATCAGTACATACTGCTATTAATAGAACTTCTAGTTTTGAAACAGTTCTTCAGTACAAAGAATTGTTATCTAAAACCCAAAGAGATTAAGAAAATTACTGAGTTCAAATTTTTTAAAGTTTTGCAGTGTTTGCTTCCATAATAATCTCACTTCCAAAACCAAAGCCCTTCAAAACCAAGATAGTTGATATGCTCAGCTGAACAACAAAATAGATGTATGTGTGTGTGTATATGTGTGTGTGTTTTTCCTGATAACATATATCCAACATTATGAATAAAAAAGTCCCTCAGTGTTTTCAACTTTCTAGATCTGGGCTGAGTGAAAAATTTCCCGGTTTCCATGGAAACCAATGGAAGATAAAGATAATGAGAAATCAAAGCCTATAAAAAGAAATTTTCTTTTAAAATAGAAACATTTTAAACATAAATACAAAAAACAAACAACAAATCATAACAGCACATTCTCTTGGGCTAATATTCAGACCACATGCACACACACACAGAACTTTATTAGAGGAACTGACAATTTGGCTTCATTCACATTAGTGAATTCTTACAAATATAATTGGTTTTGTAAGTAGATATTATCAAGTCAAAGATAAGCCAGAATCTGGTTGAAATTCTTCTGGTCAGACCTCAAGGAAGAAATAATTGTCCTCGTTTAACCTTTTAAGTGGTTATTACCATCATAGCGATGATGGTGGAGATAATGACTCTATTGAATTTCAATTGGAAAACATTGAAAAAGCAAGAAAGAATGTAAGTGGGGAAATACTATTTAAAAACTAGGCTTAACATATAAAGCAATGTTGGCTATTCCCTAACATATAAGCAGTGGTTTTTCTCTTGGAGCAGAAGTTATATATTCTTTTATTTCTTTCTTTTCTCTATTTTCTAAAATTCCACAATTAGTGTGAATAGCTTCTATAACTTAAATATATGATTGTTCTTTAAAGATAATTGAGGGTCACAGCAATGTTGATCATGTTTTAATAGCTATTGTACTTTGGTCAGCCATATCTGCTCTCAGATAACATGATGGATTAAGTCCACAAACACAGCAACAATTATGTTCAATTGTACATTCATCAGAGTTCTTAAGTTTCGCTGTGAATGCTCCTCTTTTCCAAGGTCAGCTCATGGTCTCATAGTGTTCTTTGGCAAGAAGTGCAAATGACACACGATATACTGCCTAAACATTATCTTTTTGCCATTGAGCTACACTTACTCACTTTGTAAATAATCCTATAGCATAGGACTGCCCAATAGAACTGTATGTGGAGACATAAACATTCTATATGTGTGCTGTCCAACATGGTAGCCACTAGTCCCAAGTAGCTAATGGAGAACTTGAAATATGGCAAATGCGACTGAGGAACTGAATTTTAAATAGCCTTATCTCGCTACCATATTGGATAACACAAGTAGAATTGTTGCATATTCTGCACCGGGATCAGCATCCCTGATTTGACATCCTTTGGTTAAGTGCATTGGTTCCCACAGGCCGAGGTCCTGCCAAATTCCTGATCTTACTGAAATCATGCTTATTCTAACAAATGACTACTCAATTTGTATTGAATTGTCTATGTTAAATAGTCAAAGCTTTCTTATAGATAACAGATTCTTTTTAAAGTTTGAATCCCTGTCCTTTGTCTAAGCCGAAGAAATCACATGTCTTTCCTGCCTGATCACTCTTTCAAAGTATATTCAGATGTCAATATATAGAGTCTCTATGATTGATTTAAGAATTGGCCCCGGGTAGTCAAGAAGTCATTGGGAAATACTACCCAAGAGAGAGTCTTCTTAAACGCTTTTTTTTTTTAAATTTCAAATTGGAATTTTACTCACTGTTTCTAAAACCCCTTGGAAATTTTAAACTAAAATCTGTTTCCTTACCGAAACTTTTTTTCCTCCTTCACGCGCGCACTCTGCTTTGTTATTGTAGGGTGGTTCATGTGGGCTGGGCTGCTGGAATTGATTGTTTTCATGTAGAAAAAAGTTGTTAAAGGATCTGTTTGTTCTTCAAGACACATATAAAGAATCACATGGAGTCAGCAAACATACCAGAGAAGAAACAATTTCTAGGCCAAATTGTAGGGCCTACCAATCTTGGCAGGGTTCCTGAAGCAAAGAGCGGACTTTGGGGCCCATAATGAGGCTCTATTCAGCAGGCCGGTGTGGCTGGGTCAGGAGAAGAAGGGAGGAGGAGGAGGACACATCCCAGGCACCAGGGATGATGTGGACCTAGTCCTCATTCAGCCCGCACTTAATTTACAAGGTCGAGAACAGACACCAGGACACACCAAAGAGACTGAATAAAAACGGCTGTATTTTTATGTATTTTTAATACAAATCCAAGAAGTCTGGCACCACCATATATTCCCCTAGATTAAAGCCTTTCTGGGAGTCATCAATACACAGAGTACGCACAGCTGACAGTTCCAAATCTGGACCATTTCCTGCACACATGTTCAAGATGGGCAGAGATCTCGCGGTGATGGATGTAACCTCCATTGCCCCCAGTCTAGGGGCGGATGGAAACCTGAACCGCTTTGGAAAACGCTGAGTGTATGCTGCACAGATCGGAGTTTGTCTCTGGGTTAGAATGATATCATCACACACAGCTGCCTGAAGCCTCAGACACCGCGACAGACAGCTCGATGGGGCTGGGGTGGGGGCTTATTCAGCCCGTGGCGGGCAAGGCAAGCCCGCCTTCACACACGCAGCCCTGCCACAACACCTCTGCACACAGAACCTCAGAAGCGTTGTCACTGGAGATGGGGTTCGTTGGGTTTTGAGAAACAGAAGTTAAACAAGCGTCAGTACGTTAAGCCTGCTGTGTAGCCCCTGCGCTGGCCAGGTGGTTTGTAAGCGTTAAGCGGGTGCACCAGCGCTTGCAGTTGGTAGAACCGCAGTAGTGAAGCCTTAAATTTAAACTTCAGATATTCAAAAGGCAATCATTTGAAAGCTAAATCAGCCACGTCAAAGTGGACTAGGTCCACAGACACAAGGTCTTCAAATTAGTCTGAGTTTGAAAGAAAATCAGGTTGAGATGTCTAGGGACTGAATGCAAACAGCAACTTGGACTCCCATGGCATTGGTTTGATACGGAGTTCATAAAGTTTGGTGGCCACAGTACATGGAGAAGACTTGAGGAACACTTCCAAATGGTCAAATTAGCAGTTGGCTAATAATTTCCAATTACCTATGAAGCTGTACACCCTGTTTCTGAGAATATGCATTTATTTCGAATTTTTTCCAAACAGGTCTGCATTATTTCCTAAGAAATCGAAATTAAATAATTCCTTTTTCCTAAAATCATGACCAGTGACCCATTCACGGCACTTCCAATTGAGGAATGAAGAGAGCACATCTGCTGATAAATATCTTGATGTGACAGGGAATGGTGGCAGTGAAGGAGGACTCGGAGGACTCAGGTACAAAGCCTTGACTTAGGGTGGGTGAGTCCACAGAATCCCAGCTGGGCTCATTCATGCAGCACATACTCAGTCGCCTGCTGCATGCCAGTGCTGTGTTGGGCACTGGGATGCATGGTCTACTTGAGATTTAAACTGGTGGTCCCTAGAAACGCAGAGAAGCCTAAGGCAGCAGTGGGGCCTCAAGACAATAAACAGCGGGGTGGAAAGAGCTTTAGAGAAAGAAAAAAGGACAAGACTGAGGGTGCCAGAGGGAGAGAAGCAAGAAATAGCAAACCAGCCTGGGAGCAGCAGCGAGAGAAAGCGGAGACTAGCTATAACAGAGACTTGCAAGGGGCAGAATGAAGGGGGCAAGAGAACTCAGGAAGGGGACTGAGACAGAAGCCAAGAGAAGACACAGAAGCGGAGAGTACCTGAGACAGAGTTAACGAGAGGGCTCTGAGCCAGAAGCAAGAGGTGAGGAGAAGCTGGGTCTTCTGGGTCTTTTTTTTCCCCTGCTGAATAGAGCCTTGATTATAGTGTTACCCAATGTCTGATAAATTTCAGTCTATTTTCTTAACATTTCATGATGAGAACTACATGAATGCAAAAGGCACCCCAAAGCTAAGAACCTCGAGTCAAATGTGGGAGAAAAGCTCCTACCATAGGTGCAGTTAACACCCCAATTTCGCTATAATATTATAAAGTGTGATATTTCCAAAAAAATATTTTTAGCCATCAGGTTTATTTTGGTTCCCACTCCAGCTCAGTGAGCCTAATGTGAGTCCTTTTTTTTTTTTCCCCTCCAGTAACAGCTGTTCTTTTGAACCTTCTGAATAGGCATCTGATTTAGATTTGAAGGAAGTCATTTTAGAAGCTGGTGCAGACTCCCAGAAGCACAACTCGGATAAATCCAAGCCATGCACCACAGGCTTCTTTAAAAAGCAAGAAATCTGGCAACCAGCAAGGAATCAGAGTTACTGTTAAATCAGTGGACACATTTTCCTCCTTCAGGCTGTAAATTCAGGCGTAAGTGGTTTCAAGACCATTCCCTACTTACGAATTTAATATAGAAAATGTATCTGCAGCTCAACTATGAAAAGGGAAAAGTTTCTTTCAATTTTATTGGATCTCAGCTCCATTATGACTTTGTGGACTCTGCTGGAGAAAAACATTCTCCCATAATGAGCTTTTATATCATTAAATTGGAAATGAAATAAGACTTGATGGTAGCAGCCTCTGCAGGAACTGTCTGGCTTTTGACCCACCATATTGATGACTGGTTTGCTTGCCCACTCTGGGGCAGGGTTTTAGGTGAATGCAATAAATAAGTTTAACTTGACCAAGACTGCATTTTTGTTCATGCAATTACTACAGAAAATTACAACAGTGAGAGATCTGAAAAGTTATTTAAGCTATTTTCTTCCCTGCTGAAAAAAAAAAGGAAACGGGGCTTAAGAAATTCAAACTAGCATAGATTGAAGTGTAAACCTACTGAAAATGGTCATTTAAATACTTACAATTCCATCTCTATCTGGTGAACCTCTGTAACAAAAAGAAATTGGTAGCTATTAGGAAAATGAATCATTCTTGCTACATAGACTCAAGAACAAGAAGAATCATTAACCACCTCTCTCCCCATCTTGCGAGCTCCCACTCCAGTAAACCTGGCTAATGAAAACTACATTCAAATAAATCGACTGAGTGATATTTGAGTGGGGGGGGGTGTATGTGCATGTGGGAGGGAGATTCTCATTAAAAACTGAGATCCAAAAGGTACCAAGTTGACGGTGCAGTGTCTTGCCCACCTTTTTTTAATAAACATTTTAAAAATTGACGTATAGTTAGTTTACAACGTGGTGTTAGTTTCAGGTGTACAGCAAAGTGATTCCGTCACACATATATGTGTATATCTTTGCCCACTTTTGAGAGGAGAATTCATGAACCGTCTGTCCCACTCAGCTGGCTTCCATTTACAACTACCACAGGGAAAGCAGACCAATTTGTTCTCTCTCGTCTTCTCCCCTATCAGTGGTCTTGAATTTCCCCTTATAAGAAGGAACTTCTATGGTATTTTTCAACCTACTTTGAGAATCTATACTTTCTTCCATATTTCCATATTTACTACTCCTTTGATTACGGAGGAGCAGGAAATGGAGGGCAATTTTGCTAAGTGGCTCATGTTGATGACTAACGTCCAGGGTATTTGATCCATGGTGGCACAAGGCTGCCGTGCTGAAGAGTCCAGGCTTTAGAGCAGGATGAATCTACATGTCCAGACTCCACCTCTTATTAGTTCTCTGACCCTGAACACATGACTCAACCTCTCTAAGCCTTTTTAAATATAAGGAGTATACATAATTTATAATAGTTCCTGGCACATACTGAGTATTCAAACATGTTTGTTCGTTATGTTTTTTTCCCCTCTTCCATGACGTCTCTCCATTAGGAACACAAAACTGCCCACTTGCAACCCTGTTAGACTTTATAGCAATAGAGGAAAGTATTATTATTGTTGCTTTAGAAAACTGAATTGGAGGAACCAGAGAAAGGGAGAAGGAAGAGAGAAGTCACTGTAACTTTGTAATGTCTTATTTTAATTCATTTTGTAAGGAAGCTTGAAAAATGTTATTCTATTAACATGAAGACCAGAATTCTGCTTAGATGGGGACTTGCATTGTTTGGAGGAAAACCTTAATAAGTACTTGGGGTAGACTATGAAATCTTGAAGTTTGGTGTGTTTGGAATTGTTCTTTAAGAGGTGGGACAGAGTCACAAAATTCTTTATTGCTCCATAGGATGGGGCAAAGGAGAGAGAAGAGGAGAGAAACAGAGAGAGAAAGAGAAATGCAGAGTTGGTGTGACATACTCTTGGCTCCAAGATGTGATTCTCAGCCAAAATTAGCAGAATATTCTACTTGGATTACAGAGGAGTGCATTATTTTTCATAATCAGTTCTGTGTTCATGTGGATGCAAGGCTGAATCAGTGATACAGGGACTAGAAGCAGGGAGGACCCCGATAGTGAAAGACCATGAGAGTTGACAGAAATGTTTGGATATTTGCCAACTATGGGAATTAGTTGGTTCAAAGGAATTCCATCTAAGAAAGTTAGGAAAAGTCTTAGCCAATAAGAGTTATAATTCACTGATCAAATACTGAGTGCTTACATTGGGTCAGGCACTAGGCTAGGATCAGGGGTTAAAAATAATGAAGGAGACATGGTCATCAGAGAGAGAAGGCGATGGGCAGGTAAAGCCAGTGGGTTCTTGTGGCCACCATAAGCCCAGGTTGGCTGGAAAGCACAGAAGACAGGTACCAACCCACACTCATCGAAACCAATTTTCCTTATCAGATTTATACATTGCAAGAAATAAGCATTTCTTACTAGGATTTCAGCCTTGGCGAAAGAAATTGAGAGAGAGGTGATTGTATCACCTTCGGGGTAGATAATCCAGAGGCGCTGATCCTAGCGGGGTTGTCTTTGGGGCAGGTAACGGATGTGGAGAAGGCAAGGCTCTGGAGATAGGCCTGGCTGTGATGTTGCCAACTATTGGCCCAGGTAGAAGGGCATATTTATAGGGGGTCTTAAATGGGAGGCCACTCGATCTCATGCATATTGCAGCTATAGGGATGGTGTTTAAAAACATTTAATCAGGAGAACTGTGATTGTACATAGCAGCATTGGTGATCCTTTGTCTTATCCATTGGGAATGGGGCTGCTGCATCCCAGTGTGGTGGCAGTAAGCATGGTCTTTAAGAGCACCAGCTGCAGTGCCAGACTCCCTCGGTTCAATCAACTTAGATTTCCCAGCTGCATGACCCTGGACAAGTACTTCATCCCTTTGTGTCTTAGTTACTTCATCTATATAATAGCTGTGATAACAGCATATACCCCATAGGCCTACTAAAGGATTCAATGAGTTAATATAAATGAAAAGCCTAGAATAGTGCCTAGGACATAGTAAATACTCATTCGATGGTATCTAGAATAAAGATACTGTATATGCTGGCCTAGGATGGGGAGTAGAGACAGATTTTAGCAGCCTCAGACACTTGGGCAAATGTTCTCAATTTATTTCCTAAACCCTCCTGTTAAGCTTTATATGCTTTTTTTTCTTTTTAACAGCAAATCCATTATATTTACTGACTTCTATTTTCTAACTAATCACCTACCAGGGACCCTTGGCGTCTATTTTTAAAAGTGACAGTCACCTCTTGCAACTACTGCCTTTTCTCTTTTACTCTCCTAGTGGTCTTGATTATAATATAATTTTTCCCATCTATTTCTTTTTTTTTTTCCCTGAGTGATAAAGGAATAAGCACTGGATTTTAAACTAGAATGGCTCCATGCCTCATTTTCTGGAGAGCCTTCAGCAAGTTACTTAATTCTTTTTGGCACTGATTCCTCATCTCTAAAATTGAGACATTACTTCTAACCTTATTGAATTACTGTGAGGGTTAAAAAGGATATCACTGTATACAAAATACCCTTCACAGAGCCTGCCACTTAGCACCAGCTCTCTGCTTTCCTCTTTCTACCAGCCATTGTAATGATGATGATCAAATCAGGAAGCTCTGGTTCAACTTCACTCTATCTAAGGAGGTTCAATCAGCGGACCTTAGAGCTGGCAGCTACCATAGCAGGTTGCTTGGCAACCGTCACGGAGTTGCAACAGCCCTGAAAACAGTTTGCACCAACAAGGTTTCAGTGATTGCAGACCAGCATAAGCATTACCTAAAGCAAAAGGGCTAGCAAATTGCCAGAACATTTCCCCAGCTTCTGCAAGAATGGTATGTGACCTAGTTAGAGAGCAGGGGTTTCTGAAAAGCAAAGGCTTACACCAAATGACTTATCCTTTGATCATTGCTGCAGGTGGGAACTGATAGCTAATTTGCTAAGTAAATTGGGGTGCTCGAATGATAAGAAGTGAAGAAGAGATGCCTGGGATTTTACTGGCAAATATCTCCTCAGAGTACTTCACAGAGATATTGGGCATCTACCCGAAGCCGTGAGGAGCAGCTTTCACATTTTCATGATTTTAGAATTGTTGATGGAAAAGCGTGGCTTTGGTCACATACAAATGAGCTCAGCCTGCCCTGGGGAGGTTATCTGACCTCTTTTCCCATTTGAGGGAGCTTCGTTTCCTTTTTAATTTTCTTCACACACCAGAGATTATATGCAGTCAGTTACAGACACTGTCTTCCAAGAAAAACGGATTTGGTCTCTGCTAATGATGTTCTCCCGAGACGTGTCTAACAGTATCCCACACAACACGTGGCATGTTGTAGGTGACAAGAGATGCTGCTGACGGACAGACTCGTGCAGTGTCTAGCCTTTTAGGAAAATTAGATTCCGTTTAGAGTAAACTGAGGCCCATTAGAGGAAAGTATATTCCAAGGCTGTTGGCAATGCTGGACTCAAAGCCCAGATCTTCTGACTCTGCTGAACGAACCATCACCTCTTCTGATTATGTTTTGAAAACAGCAATTTCTCAAAAATTAATGGAAATCATATAATATTTAGAAAAAATTTTTCTAATTTAATCATTTAGAAAACTTTGCAAGGCCAGAGGAAATATAGTTTCCATGAAATAATT